GGCTCTCCTGGAACCCTGCTTGGGAGTTTCATGGGACCTCCTGGGAGCTTCCTGGGGCTCTCTGGGATCGTCTTGGGGCGCTCCAGGGCCCTCTGTGGCCGTCTTGGCGGCATTTCGGCGGCCCCGCTTAAGGCGTGCACTGGAACCCGCGTGGCCTCTCCAGAAGCCTCCCGAGCTCGCCTCCAGCACTGAAGCATGGAACACCTGTCTTACAGTCAACCCGCCCTGGGAGGACGAGCAATTTTCCTGACGGTACCCTTGCATCCTTGCCTCCTCGGCCCATCGTCGGCCACTTTCGTTGGCCGCGCCTCTCTCGAAAAGCTTAGAGGAGGGCGTCCAGGGCCCTTGCCTCCTTATCGTGCGTCCTTATGATACGGGCCGGTTAGGGCTTGCGCCTCCGCGAACTTCAGCTGCGTGAGCCCAGACCCCCGACGTCATGACGTCGACCCCCAGAACTCTGAGGAGATCTGGACCCCTCCCCCGGGACCGGTTTTTCATCCCCAGTCGTTTCTTGACGGTCCCGGGGTCCGGCGAGGTCCCCCAGAGGCCGAAAATTGCTCAAAACCTCCCGTAGTGATTTGTTCCCAGACATGCGACGTCCTGATTTTTTCAGGACGGCGTCCCCGGAAGTCCCGACCCTTCCCCGGGGGCCGGCTTTTTGTCCTGAGCCGTTTTTTGACGGTCCTGGGGCCCGGCGAGGTCCCCCAGGGGCTGAAAGTAGCGAAAAACCTTCGTCCTGATTTTTTCACGACGCGACCACATCTGGGTTCCATACTCGAGGGGGTCTGGGAGGCCTCTCTTCGCCTCCATCGGGCCTCTCGGGGCCTCTCCGTGCGCCTCCTGGGCCTGCCGATGCCGCCGCGGGGGGTCGGGTATAGCCAGGACCCCAGGTAAGGGGACCCGTTTAGTATTAAGTCGGGCCTGTCCCTCTACAGGGAGAATAATCAAAAATGGTCAAAAAAATGGTCTGGGAACTTTTTTCAAAACATTTTTGAGCATCTTGGGGGTATTTGTTGTTGTATTTGTTCGCCCAAAATCCCCCTGTAGGGGGACACGCCCGACTTAAGGTTAGCAGTAGGGCCCTGGAGCACTTGAATTGGCCAGGATCACTAAGCCGGGTCTGCCGTAGCCGGTGTTTCTTCGGGTGACGGTAGTTCCGGTCAGTGGAACGGGCGTGGGGGGCGTCCCCTAGTGCACATCACTAGACCAGGCCCCACTAGACCCAGTTCTGCCAACGCCCGAGGGAGGCAGCCTCTGCCAAGGGCGTCTTTTTGAGCTGTCACGGTCTACAGCCAACCCGCATGGTAAGGATGGGCATCCTTCCCTTCAGATCCTGGCGCTGCAACTGTTTCACAACAGGCGTTTTCGCTCAATGTCGGGCCCTGGAACCCTCGCAGGTCGATCCGGCTCGAAAAATGACGCAGAAAGATGGGGTCCGAGGCTCCGGGCGTGATTTCTTGCGATGTTGCAGTTCTTTTTGCAACGTCGGATCTCAGGGTCCCAAGGGTACCCTTGCATCCTTGCCTCATCGGTCCATCCTCGGCCACTTTCGTTGGCCGCGCCCCGCTCGAGAAGCCTCGAAATGGGCGTCCAGGGCCCTTGCATCCCTAATTCTCGCGCATCCTCGTGTTACGGGCCGACTGTAGACCAGGGACGCCATTGAGTTGTCCTGCTGTCTGGGATCGCTTTGGTAGGGCTCGTTTCGATTCCTCCGATTCGATTCGATTCGATTTCGATGGCTTCCGATTCCGATTCGATTCGGCTTCGAATTCCGATTTGGATTCCGATATCTCAATGGAGGTCTACTAATTTGCCGACTTCCTCCGATTCGACTTCTCCCGACTTGGCTGCCGATTTCCGCCGATTCGATTCATTTCGATCGCCGATCCGACTTATCGATTCGACTCTGGGCTCTCCTGCAGCCTTGGAATCCTCCCGGAGCTTCCGAGCCGTCTTTTTGGGGGCCGTCTGGCTAATTGGGGCCGCCTCTTGGAGCCTCCGAGGGCCTCTCGTGCACACCTCTTGGCCTCGTGGCTTCTCTGGGCCTCCCTGGCCAGGCTCGGGGCCTCTCTGGGGCAACTGGGCCTGCTTGCCGAGGCGATGCGCGGGCCGTTGAGGGGCCATCCTCCTCCTCCTCCTCCTCCTCCTCCTCCTCCTCCTCCTCCTCCTCCTCCTCCTCCTCCTCCTCCTCCTCCTCCTCCTCCTCCTCCATTTCCTTTTCCTTATACATACTTTCCCCCTGTCGCACCCCGAGGCCAGTTTTTTGGGCGGACTGGGCGTTTCGCTCGAGACTTCCTCACCATTTATGGTTCTGAATCTTAGAAGGTGTCAGCAGCTTCACAGATGGAGGGCGGGTCGTTTTCACAATGTGGCTCTCGCCTTAGCGCCGCGCACATTAGTTTCAAACAAGTGCAAGAGCTTCACGGATTGAGGGCCACCCGTTTTCAAAATGTGGCTCTCGCCTTAGCGCCGCGCACATTCGTTTAACAAATGTGCCAGAGTTCCACGGATTGAAAGTCACCCGATTTCAAAATATGGCTCTCGCCTTAGCGCCGCGCGCACTCGTTTTTTACCTGTGCAAGAGTTTCACAAATGGAGGGCCACTCGTTTTCAAAATGTGAATCTCGCTTGAGCGCCGCGCACATGTGTTAAACATTCTGGCATGAGCTTCACGGACTGAGGGCGGTTCCTTTTCGAAATGTGGCTCTCGTCTTAGCGTTACGCACTTTCGATTGAAACTTTCACGGGTTCCCATGATCAACATACCAGAGACGGCGTTTTGGAAGGATTCTGGAATATGTGGGTGCAGCAATTATGTTGATTCGCGGTGTTGAAGTCCCCCAAAATGGCGTTCTGGCACGATTCCAGATCGTCATGACGCAGCAGTCAGGTTGATGCGTGGCGTTGAAATCCCGAGAACCATTTTTTGCCTGCTTCAGGATCTTCAAACGGTTGTCTTCCAACGAGGCAGTTCCTTCATTGGAAATCAACCCTCGTAGGGGCCTATGAAGAGAGAGCTTGGAGGCAGGGCTTATTATTCCAACATCGTTGATGACTCTTGGGTTTACACTGGTCCTCCTCCTCCTCCTCCTCCCCCTCCTCCTCCTCCTCCTCCTCTTGAGCCGTCTTCCGGCGGTCTTGCAGCCCTCTTGGGCGGCCGTGGCGCGTCGAGAGACCGAAGACCGCGGACCGCCGAGCATTGTGGAGAAAATGCGAAACCGAGCAGCGCCCTTTCAGAGCTGGCGTTGGAAGTCGATCGGATTGGCGTTGGAAGCCGATTGGCCTTGGAAGAGGAGGGAAGAGAAGGAACACCGCTCGACTCTTGAAGTGGGAAGGCGCCTACATCAGATTAGGACTTGGGCATCCGAAAACACCTACTTTTGACAACCGGCGTGCAGACGCGAACCCCTGTCGAGCTCGGTCCCCCCCTACGCCCGATTCCTGCCCTGCACGTTGATGCAACCTCCTTCGGACCGTCGCAGCGCGGCACAGGCAAGGCTTCGACGTCCAGCGGCCGCACATACTCGTTTTAAACATTTGCAAATTTTCACGGGTTGAGAGCGGGTCGTTTTCAAAATGTGGTTCTCGCCTTAGCGCCGCGCACATTCGTTTGAAACACTTGCCAGAGTTTCACGGATTGAGGGCGGTTCCTTTTCATCGAAATGTGGCTCTCGCCTTAGCGCCGCGCACATTCGTTTGAAACATTTGCCAGAGTTTCACGGATTGAGGGCGGTTCCTTTTCATCGAAATGTGGCTCTCGCTTCAGCGCCGCGCACATTCCTTTTAAACATTTCAAGAGGTTCACGGATTCCCATGATCAGCGTATTAGAACGGCGTTTTGGAAGGATTCTGGAATATGTGGGTGCGGCAATTATGTTGATTCGTGGTGTTAAAGTCCCCAAAAATGGCGTTCTGTCACGATTCCAGATCGTCATGACGCAGCAGTCAGGTTGATGCGTGGCGTTGAAATCCCGAGAACCATTTTTTAGCTTGCTTCAGGATCTTCAAACGGTTGTCTTCCAACGAGGCCGTTCCCTCAATGGACATGAACCGCTGTATGGGGCCTATGAAGAGAGAGCTTGGAGGGAGGGTTAATTCCAACATCGTTGATGACTCTTGGGTTTACACTGGTCCTCCTCCACCTCCTCCTCCTCCTTCTCCCCTCGACCGGCCTTGGCTTGCCGACGATGCGATGCGCGGGCCGTGAAGGGCCATCCTTTGCCATCTTCGGCCTTCAGTCGACCCGCACAGTAAGGCTGGGCAACCGCAACCTTCCCAGGGGTACCCTGGCATCCTTGGCCCTTCGGCCCATCCTTAGCGACCTTCGCTGGCCAAGCTCGCTCGAAACACGTTCACCTTGCACCCTTGCCGCGCACCCTTGTGGTACGGGCTGACTGTATCTTGAGCCGTCTGAGCCTCCTGGGCCGTCCTGGGTCTTTCCCAACGCCGCACGGAGCCGCCCTGGGGGCTTCTGCGGCGCCCTCCTTCAGCGTCAGGGTGCACTCTGAAGCCTTGGTAGCACTATCTCAATCCGTTAAGCCTGGAGAGCCGACGTAGTGGAATGCGTCCGTGAAGTTCAATGGTTTTGGCCGGCAGAGGCTGCATTTTGGGCCTGCGCAGCGTAGCTTGTACAAGCAGTACTCCTCCTTCTCCTCCTCCTCCTCCTCCTCCTTTTCCTCCTCCTCCTCCTCCGCCTAGCGTGACTAGTCCTTGCACCATGATTGTACAGGCAGTCTGGAGGCCGTTGTGTGCATCTTGCACCATCTCGGAGGCAAGAATCTTCCCCCCCCTCCCCCCCAGACATCTGGCTTCTGCTCCACCTTCTTCGATGCGTGGGCCCCGGAGGCCCGGACCACCCGGTTTTGTCGCCCCGGGCCGATTTTGGACGGCCCCGGAGCCCCGGGGCGATGGCCCAGCCCGGCGAGATGGCCCCCGGCGGGACCCTTGGCCGCCGCCAGCAAGAACAGGCATAGGCATCTCTCGCTCCCGTGGCCCCGAAGGGGGCCGGTGGCTCACCGCCGTGATCGTGGACAACGCCATCGCGCAGGGCGGCCAAGATCGGGAGCTGCACCGGCGCACGCTCCGGCGCAAGGTGCAGGAGTTCAAGCCCTTCATAAAGAGCATCTTCGAAGAGCTGGACTTGTCCAAGGATTCGAAGAAGCAGAAACAAAAAAGCATACTGTGGAGGCCCAGGCCAAGAAACACCCCGCTTGCCTCCAGGGTGCCCTGGGTTTCTTGGGTTTCGATGGTCTTGCTATGGGAAGCGTGACGCTCCCACACAAAAGATCAAATGGCGTCCTCTGGGCCACGCACAGTTGCGGTCGACCTCGCCATGTAACCCAAACGTTTTCTTTGCTGAGGTCGCCGTCGATTTCTTTCTGTACCCAGTTCGTGGTCGACCTCAGAGTCAGGGCAGAGGCGTCTTCCCGCCTCCCGCTCGCCGAGCACGAGCCACACCGACTGTGCCACCGCCGCGGTGGCCTCGTGATGCGCTCGCTTGCTCTCGGGCGTGACATGCCCCGCCTGGAACGGGGTCGGCGGGTTTGAACGCTCAGAGCCCGGGGCGTGCACAGACGCACTGCTCGGGGCCTGGCCCCAACCGCCTTCCGACAGGGAACCTCACAGGCCAGCGGGGAACTGGCGAACAAAACAAGAGTTGACGTCCTGGGGTCTCGGGGTTGGGCTTCTCGTGGAACGCTTTCTTGTGGGCTGGCCTCCACTGCAGGCATAAACTTTTGGCGCTCCGCGCGGATCTCTTGGAGCGGCGCATGGTCCCCCGCCCCGGCGGCGCGGTCCGCGCGCCAGGGAGGGGGTTCCAGCGCACAAGCAATCCGCGCGGAGCGCCACAAGCTTATGGTTTTACGCTGCTGCTCCTTCTAAAGGATGGCAACCTCAACGCAAACGAGATCAAGCACGGGATGCAGGGCGTCCTCGCGGCGCTGCGGCGCGAGAAAAACGGGCAGTTCAAGAACATGCCGCAGGAGCTCAAGGACGTTCTGGAGTCGGACCAGTTCATGGACCTGTTCGAGTTCCTCGACATGGACAGATCAGGCACCATCGACTCGCAGGAGTTCTTCGAGGGGGTCTCTTATCTGGCCCTGCAGTCCATTCCCACTGAGACCATTCAGACGTTGCACCTCTTGCGTTCGCAGCAGGCGAAACTGGATCAGATCGAGACCGACTTCAAAGGATACGGTAAGATGCTGGCTTCTATTTACCAGAGAGGATCCGACACCCCCGGTAAATTCAGCAGCACATGCATCTGCCACGGCGAAGCACTGCAGCATTCGGCCCCGCCATCGACCACGTGGAACTTGTGAGCTGCGCCCGCCGCTGCTGCGCGTGAGCGGCGCCAGGCTGCAGGGCAGCGCCATCGGGCCCTTCTCGTGGACGAGCCCTGCTCAAACTCGGCCAACCAGAGCTCTGGACCACTGCCCCAGGGCCGGTTTGCCGTCCTGAATCCGAGCATCTTCTTTGGGTGGAGGTCAAAGGGTGAAATTTGAAATGCAGTTTCGATGGATGTTCGAGGCCTGAGTCCGCAAAAGGTGAATCACACGACGGATTGACTTTCGAGGTGCAAAAAGCCCATATGGATTTCACCCTGAGCCCTCCGCCCCGAGAAACTGCTCAGTGACTCGTTTTTTGACGCTCCCGAGGCCCGGCGGGGGCGCCTCCAGGCCGCCAGCTGCCAGAGCCCCGCCGCTCCCGTTTTTTCTCGGGGGGGAGCGCCGGATCCCCAGAGATCCAACGCCCTGACAAAAATCAGGACGGAGGATTTCCTTCTCCTTCGGCCTCAAGGGGCCCTCGCTGGGCCCCGGGACCGTCCGAAAACGACTCAGGATGAGAAGCCGGTCCCGGGGACTGGGTCGCGAGACCTCTGGGGGGCCCGCATGGGAAAAATCACGACGTCGGATCTCTGGGCCTCTGGGGCCACGGCTGCGCTCGGCACCCCACGAGTCCCGCCACGGGCCTCCTCGCAGGGAGCGCCGAGGCGGGCCCTGCGCCCTGCCGCCCCGCCCCCCCGGCGGAGCCCGCGCGAGCACCTCTGCAGGGACCCCCCTCGCGGCCAGACGTCCGCCGATATGATGTCGTCGATCCGCGGCACCGGGGCTCCCGGGGGGTGGCTTTCCGCACGAAAGCCCCCCCCTGCATGGGGAGGGGTTCCGGGACGTCCCGGCCATCGTCGAGACCGGGCCCGGCTGGACGTCCCGGCCATCCCAGACGGGTCCGGGGCGTCCTGGGCCCGCTTTGGATGCTCCCCGGAGGCCGAAATCCAGGAAAGCCCTCTGGATTGAGAAAGCCATATCCTCGGATCTCTGGGAGGCCTTCTCGAGGAGGGCCCCCCAGAGATACGTTCAGATACGGCGGCGCTCCCGCGCAGGCCCGGGGCGCGCATCTAAACAAATATCTGCATTCTCGGCGTTGCAGATGAAAAGTAGATACGATAGGCTTCTCGCCTGCACTAGGGCGCGATCCCAGACATGCGACGTCCTGATTTTTTCAAGACGGCGTCCCCGGAAGACCAGACCCTTTCCTCGGGGGCAGTTTGTCATCCTGAGTCGTTTTGTGACGGTCCCGGGGCCCGGCGAGGGCCCCCCGGGGCCGAAAATAGCGAAAAATTTCCCGTCCTTGACTTTTTAACGACACGATCATGCCTGGGATCGCATCTAAACGCATCTGTTACTTTTAGGTACGTCTTGCAGGGTCGGGGCCCTGCCCGGCCCCACCGGGCCAGAGGGCGGGGTCCTGCTCGGGGACCCTCCAGGGGGCGGCGCGCACTGCACAGCGGGGGTGCCGCGGGGGGGGGAGGGGAGAGGCCTTCTTCTCGGGAGGCGGAGAGGGGGAGGGGCCTGAGGAGGCAGGGAGGCGCCTGCTTCCAGAGAGACGGAGAGTCCAATCAGGCACACCCCTTCTACAGGAGGAATGTCCAGGGAGATTCTGAGAAACAGTCTGGTGCAGATTGTTTGGCTATGCTCGACTATGCTTGAACGTTTGCCAATCATGCTTGCTTCTTCTTCCCAAGCCCGCCTGTAGGAGGGCACGCCCGACCTCAGCCCAGAGGCTTCCAGGAAGCCTTCCCGGCAGCCTCCGGGCCCGTGCAGAAAGGCCCTCCCCTGTCTTCTGGGAGGCCTCCCCTGGTCTTTCCAGGAGGCCACCCTCTTCGCGCCACCCAAGGGTCAGGTCGGGCCTGTCCCCCTACCGGGGGACTTTCGACGAAAAACAAGAAATACCCCCAAATACCCCAAAAAGGTCAAACAAAAATGTAAAAAAAAGTCCCCAGACTATGCTCCAGACTATGCTTGGACTATGTTGGGGGTATTTCTTATTTTTCGTCGAAAATCCACCTGTAGGCGGACAGGCCCGACTTAACCCAAGGGTGCGCGCCACCAACTCTCGGGGGGCCTATTGGGGGATCTCTGGGGTCCACCTTCGGGGCCGCTGCTGGCAGTGTCTTGGCAATCCAGCGGCCTCTGCGCCCATCCTGAGGATTCTGGAAGGCACAAGTGGGCCGACTTGGGGCCTCTCGGGCCACTGTCGGCCCGAACCCGACAAGACAAGCCTGGGCGATGTTGGCTGCGCACTGGGGCCTCTGGATGCCACGCTGGGGCCGTCTTGGTCGATGCAGGGGCAACCCTGAGGGCTACAGGGTTCCGTCTTGAGACGTCCTGGGGCATCTTCGGAGGGCAGCGGACGATTGACAGAACACGCAGAGAGCCTGGGGGGCGCTTTCCTGCCGGAGCGCCCCGGGGCCCTGCAGCCCTCCGTGGATTCTGGGGCTCCTCGAAGGCCGTCCTGTGGGCTCCCGGGGCTCTCTCTCTCTGGGGCCTCGTGGGGCGCTCCCATATAGGACTCCTGCAGGCCTCCTGGGCCCCGCTGGCTGTCTGGCGGCACCCCTGCCGGGAATCCTTTGAGGGGGGGCGGCCTGGCGCGGCCAGGAGGCCGGAGGACCCCCGGCCCTCCCCCCCCCCCCGCCCGCGCCCGGCCGGGGAGGCGTCCTGGGGGTGCCGACGGGCCCCTCTCCGGGAGGCATCGGGAGGCGAGGCGGGAGACGGGATGGGAGCGGCAGGAGACGGGGAGCGAGGGGCAGACGAACACGATGGGGGGAGGGTAAGAAGCATGATCAGGGGGGGAGAAGAGCACACAGGCACAATTCGTCGCCGACTCCCAGGAAGACATGGGGAGATAGGGGAAGTGGGGGGGGAGGAGGAAGACCCAGAACGTATTCTCAAAGATTGGGGATCCTTGGATGTGTGTCTATTGAGTTTGTGTGTCCCTGAGGGCCTCTGGAAAGACAGTCCGGCAGGGGCCCTCGCAGACTGGCGCTGCCGAGGGGGCTGGCAGATTTCAGGTCATGCAGATGGAGGTGCGCTCCCAGGAGGAATGGCCTGATACGTGGGGCGTTGCAAAATGGGCCTTGCCTTCGAGGATCGAAGGAGTTGTCATCTCTTCCTCGGCGGAAGGCGGCGGAAGGTCGGCGGAAGTAGAACGAGGCCGCCTCCGCCGGCGGAAGCCGGCGGAAGCTCGGCGGAAGGCGGCAGAAGTAAAAGATGTGCCCCCAAGAGATGGAAACGTTTCTGTGTTCAGGGTTTCCGAAATCGCCCACATGTGGATGTAGGTGCGCCTTACGCCGTTTGCAGTTGTTCAGACATGTGACCCGGGCCTCCTTGCTCACGACTTCTGATTCCTGACGCGGACTGTGTGCAGAACCACAGCCCAAAGTTGGCCATGAGCAACTTCGGAGCGACTTCGCATACACCTCCCAAGGGATCGGAGGAGGAGGAGGAGGAGACGGATGAGGATGAGGATGAGGATGAGGATGGTGACGATGACGATGACGATGATGTTGATGCTGCTGCTGATGATGATGATGACGATGATGATAATGATGATGATGATGCTGCTGCTGATGCTGATGCTCATGATGCTGATGCTCATGATGCTGATGCAGATGCTAATGCTAATGCCGATGTTGATGCTGATGCTGATGATGAAGAGGATGAGGATGACGAGGATGACGAGGGTGACGAGGATGACGACGATGACGAGGATGACGAGGATAACGAGGATGGCGAGGATGACGAGGATGACGAGGATCATAATGATGCTGATGATGGTGATGATGATGATGCTGATGCTGATGCTGATGCTGATGCTGATGCTGATGCTGATGCTGATGCTGATGCTGATGAAACTGCTGATGATGGTGATGATGGTGATGATGGTGATGATGAAGATGCTGGTGGTTATGATGATGATGATGATGATGATGATGATGATGATGATGATGATGATGATGATGACGATGCTGATGCTGATGCTGATGTTGATGCTGCTGATGCTGCTGCTGATGATGATGATGTTGATGATGATGATGATGATGCTGATGAGGATGAGGATGAGGATGAGGATAAGGATGAGGATGAGGATGAGGATGATGATGATGATGATGAGGATGAGGATGAGGATGAGGATAAGGATGAGGATGAGGATGAGGATGATGGTACTGGTGCTGGCACTGGTACTGGTACTGGTACTGGTACAGGTACTGCTACTGCTACTGCTACTGCTATTGCTACTGCTACTGCTGGTGCTACTGCTACTGCTACTGCTACTGGTGCTGGTGCTGGTGCTGGTGCTGGTGCTGGTGGTGATGGTGGTGGTGGTGGTTGTGGTGATGATGATGATGATGATGATGATGATGATGATGATGATGATGCTGATGTTGATGCTGATGCTGATGCTGATGCTGATGCTGATGAGGAGGATGAGCAGGGGAGTTGGAGAATGAGGAACAGGAGGAGGAGGAGAATGAGGAGCAGGAGTAAGAAGAGGAGGAGGAGACGGAGGAGGAGGATGCGGAGCAGGAGGAGGAGGAGGCGGCGGAGGGAGAGGAGGAGGGAGAAAGAGAGAGGCGGAGACAGAGGAGAAGGAGAGGATGGCGTCATGGGCGGCGCCAGTTGGATCATCGCCTTGCGATCGCTCCCATCTTCCAGCTCCCCCCTCCCCCTTTTTCTCCTCCTCGCGGTCCAGGCCAGGCCGTCGTCCTCCTCCAATGGGGGCGGCGCGAGGGCGCGATGGCGCGACGATGATCGCGCGTCGCACATCTCGGCGCGCGAGTCGAGAAGTCCGGTGACCCTAGCCGCCCGCGCCCACATGCAAGGGCACACCGCCACCAGGGACGACGACGGTGCGGGGGGGCGTCTGGCAGGACATCCCTCCCACCATCCTCGGGCCCGACCTCAACGAACCGAACGTGAGCACCCTGTAGACCACGGGCATGAGCGCTCCTCCTCGTCAGGACTGCCCCAGTGTTCCGTTCTCGCGGTTTTGCTCGGTCCGCGTGTCGGGCCGTCTGGGGACCCGGCCTTCTGTGGGCAGGCTTCCCCCCCCTGTCCAAGTTCCCAATGCATCTTCTATCCATCCTGCATCCATCTCCCATCCCCTCCTCCGCCCCCCCCCCCCATGTCACCTCCTTCATGAATCCTCCGCCCCCTCCCCCGCAGCCGTCGGGGGCTGGTGGAGGCTGGAAGCGGCGGGCCGAAGTTCCAGAAACCCGCCGCTGGTTGCACCAAGCGGACGGGGGCCCTCAGCCGGAACACGATCGACAATCCATGGATCATGAGATCCATCCCGTGGTGACCTAATCGTTGCATGATGCTGGTGCGTGGGCCCTCTCATTCCATCCTGGCGGTCTGCAGCAGCAGGGACAGGGAGAGGAGGAGGAGGAGGAGGAGGAGGAGGAGGAGGACCAGTGTAAACCCAAGACGCATCAACGATGTTGCGATAGACCCTCCCCCCCAAGTTCCCCTTCATGGGGACCAACAAGAATTTAGACTCATTGCGGTTAGTTTCCTGCCTCCCATTCGCGTCGTTGTCCAGTGGAGCGTTCTCGATGGGACCGCGCCACCGAGGGCGGACGCGGGTGGGTCGCGGCTCGCCCCTGCGCGCGAGCCCAGGCTGCGGGCGGAGGAGAGGAGAGAGCCAACTGAAAAGCCGGAGAGACACTGGAAGGAAGTGCCCCATTGAAAGATGCATGTTTCAGAATCCCCAGCCGTGCCAAAACACTGCCGCGCCGCGAATCAAATTGACCGTTGCGCCCCGGCCATCCTGAACCGTGCCGGGACGCCTCTCTTGGGACTTCAACGCTGCGAATCAACAGGACCGCGGCGCCCTTGCAATCTCAAGCCGTGCCAGAACACCATCCCTGGAATGTCACGGCTACGTCCAGACATTTTTAATTCGTGCCAGGGCTCGAATCTTGAGTCGTGTCAGGACACCAGTCCCGGGATCTTATCCGTGCGAACCCTGGAACGGTTCCAAATCTTGGAAGCAACTGTGCGCGGCGCCGAGGCGAAAGCCACGTTTTTTTGAAAAGGGGCGGCCCTTCATTCCTGAAGTTGCTGCGGGTTGTTAAGACGAATACGCTCGGCACTCTGGCGATGACCACATTTTGAAGAGGAGCCGCCCTCCATCCTCGAAGCTGCTGCGAACTTTCCAGACGAATGTGCGCGGCGCTGAAGCGAGAGCCGCATTTTGAAAACCTCCCGCCCTCCACCCTCGCAGTTGCTGCAACCTTCAAGCGTCAGTGTCATTAGTGGTGAGGAAGTCTCAAGCGGAAACAGGCCCGATCCGTCCTACCCACACGTCTGGGGGTGCGATCGGGGGGGGGGGGGGCTTGTAAGGAAAAAGAATGGAAGACGAGGAGCAGAAGGGAGGAGGAGGAGGAGGAGGAGGAGACGAAATGGCGGTTCGAAACCGCGGGGGGGAGAGGGGAATCAGTGGAGGGGAGCAGGGGGGATCGCCAAGAGCAGAAAGAGAAGGAGGAGGAGGAGGAGGAGGAGGAGGAGGAGGAGGAGGAGGAGGAGGAGGAAGGGGGGAGGAGGAGGAGGAGCAGTAAAAAGCGGAGGACCTGGGGGAGACGCTGCTGTTCCGAGGGGGAGAGGCCCAGCAGCCGTGGAAGCAGCGGCAGCATCTATGCCGCGCGGGCTTGGCCTGGAGGCAGCTGCGCGCCCTGCCCGTTTCCGAGCGAAGCTTGTGGAACGCCAGCGGCTATCAGCCCCGCCACAAAGTTCTTTGTTGTTATAGTAATATTCGATTGCACGACCCCTCCTCATCCTGCCTTATTCCTCCCTGTTCCCTTCCTCCTCTCCCGCAGCCACTTTGGCTCAAGGCCATGGTTCCTCCTTCTTGCACCCAGTGGATATTTCGGATCCGCGGCAAGTGTTCAGTATTTCGCCTGGTTTGCTCCAGGCTGGATTTGACGGAGTCCGCCTTCCCTCAGTCGTTCTCGATGCGCTCCGTCAGAGGCAATAAAGGAGGGCAGGCCAACGGACGTGATGTGCATTGTGCTACTTGCCGATGCTGGTGGGACTCCAAGACGACCAGTACGTTCGGCTGGTACGAGTGGGCGCTACAACGAAAGAACGTCGAGCCCCGCGGTCCCATGGAGTGGAGCGTGAACCCGACTTCAAAGGGACAGGCAATGGCCCAGGAGATCCGCCGATTCGAAAGGCTGAGGCGAATACTGAAGCAGAGCAGAAGAGGCCTTCGGCCTTGGGTACGCTGGGCCACAGACTGGCAGTCGCACCAGCAGTCTGACGCACTGGAGATGGATCAGGGGAAGCTGCTGCGCTTGCAGGTGGGCGACTGTCCCGAGCTCGATGCCCTGCTCACGAAGGCAGCGACCACAAACAGCGGCCCCACGGTGCAGCCTCCTGCCCCAGTGCTCGAGGAAGATGCGGCGTGTCGACCGCGACGGCATGCCTTCAGCGGCAGGCCCGGCTCGGGACATTGTCGCCGGGGTCGACGTAGCGGGCGAGCGGCTGCTCGAGTGCGGGGCAGACGCCCTGCAGGCGAGGAAGGACAAGTTCTGGTCACCAAGGCCGCGCGGGAAGCCGCCCGCGCCGCTCGCGCCCTTTCTCTGGGGGCACCGCCGGCGGAGGCTCGGCGCCGCTCCCAGAAGGTTCTCACGCTGCACGGCGAGCTGTTCACGGTGGAAGGGGTCGGGGTACCCGATGGGCAGCTCGAGGAGTGGAATCGTATCGACGCAGACTCGGCCAAAGCGATCCAGCGAGAAGTGGCCAGAGTGCTGGGCCCCTCGGCCGAGTGCCCACGGTCCCTCCGCGCACGGGCGAAGACCGTGCGGGAACGCCTCAGGGCCAGGGCAAGAGGGGGCGGACCAGCAGCAGCACCAGCAGCCGCATCCGCGTCCGCAGTGTGCTGTCGCAGCCGCAGCTCCGCCTGCGGGTCCCGACGGCGAGCCGACCACGGAAGTCCCAGAGGCTGAGCGGCATGGAGTTCCGCCGAGGGCCCCGTTGGGTGCGTTCACGTGGCGCCGCCGCGCCCACTTCGGCACAAGCCCTTTGCGGGCATCGTGCCCCGCAGGGAGCTCCACCAGGGGCCTCGTCGATGGCGTTCGCACGGTGCCGCCCCGCCCGTGTCCACACACCTCTCACGCTTTTCCTGCCCCCCAGGGGGCTCTCACCACGGCGCCGCCCACAGTGGCGCCGCCGCGCTCACCTCGGCACGCCCCTCACGCTCCTCCTGCCCTCCAAGGAGCTCCACCTAGGGCGCCAGTGGGTGTGTTCGCATGGCGCCGCCGCGGCAATTTCGGCACACCTCTCACGCGTCTCCTGCCCCCCCAGGGGGCTCCAACCAGGGCCCCAGTGGGTGCGTTCGCATGGCGCCGCCGCGCCCACTTCGGCACTCCCCTCACGTTTTTTTTTTCTGCTCTCCAAGGAGCTCCACCTGGGGCGCCAGTGTGTGCGTTCGCATGGCGCCGCCGCGCCCATTCGACACACCCTTCATGTGTGCTCGTGTGTTGAGCGGTCCTGTTTATAATCGCCTCGCCTTGAGAAAGGGTTGTATTCTTCGCCAGGCTGATGTTTTGAGAGGGGTCCTGTCGCCGACATTCGGCTGGGTAATGGAAGTCCAGTCGGGGTGACAATAAGGTCGTCCTGATCCACCCCCGAACTTTGACTCGCGGGATTCGCCATGTACCAACTGGCCCCGTAGTTTGACACGAGGCAAGAAGAAGAGGAGCAGGAGGAGGAGGAGGAGGAGGAGGAGGAGGAGGAGGAGGGAGCGGCACACCGAGAAGGAGTCAGCCGAGGCTAACGCCATGCGATGCTTCTGAAGCTCGGGAGCCAGCTCTGGGCTCCGCGGAGGAGCCTGCCAGCGCCAAGGCCCCGGGCAAGGCAGCTCTTCCCAGCCTCGGGACACCTGCCGTCGACCATGACGGCTGGCCTTGACGCTGGCCCTGCAGCCGCACTGTGTCCTTGAGGCGAGTGCCTCGCGACGATGGGGCAAGCCGGGCTGCGCCCAGACATCGAGTTGAGATCTCGAGGTGCTCGAGGTGAAGACCTCAATATGGAGACCTCGAGGGGAAGGGGTCGAGGTGAAGACCTCGAGGTGATCCTCGAGAGGTGAAGACACCAAAGCGAGGACCTCGAAGTTCGCATGACCTCCAGCCTTGCCGCCAGGTTGTCCTTGGGGTAAGTACAGCACTTCGTAAGCCGGTGTCGCCACGGCTTTCTAACCCCTGGAGTGGTTGCGCAGGTGCTCGTCGGGCGCGCTCCACGCGCACACCCTTACCAATGCCCGATGCGTCCTGCACAAGAGCTGCCCCAGGGGCTGCGAAAAGCCATCGGCATGGGGAGAGGAGAAGGAGGGAGGAGAAGGAGGAGGAGAAGGAGGAGGAGGAGGACGAGGAGCAGGAGGACGAGGAGGAGGAGGAGGAGGAGCAGGAGGAGGAGGAGGAGGAGTGAAGAGGAAAAGGAGGGAGGGAGTAGGGAGGGAGGGTAGAGAAGGAGAAGGAGGAGGAGAAGGTGGTAGGAGGGAGGATTGCGCACTACGCAGGAGGAAGGCAGGAGGGAAGGAGGAGGAGGAGAAGGTGCCCCCCCGCCCTCTTGATCATTCCTCATCCCTCCCTTCGCGCATCCCTCCGATTGCAGTGGCGCGACTATAACCGCGCGTCAGACCTCTGTCGGCGCGAGGCACCAAGTTATAAGTTTGGCGACCGATGAGTCGCGTTTCACTCTGCGGGGCGTCGTTTCTGTCCTGGCGAGTTTGACCACACGTGTGCCCCCGCTGATCCGTGCGGGACATCCGGAGGACAAACGCAAACATTATTTGCCAACCTTTCCTTCACTCCTTCTCATTACCACCCGTGGTACAAGTAGCTGTCTGGCGAACGCTTCAGAGCAAGAGCAACATCACACAGGAAACCTATATGTTTGCAAACTCATGTCTCTGCCAACGTGGACCCCTAGCAGTGGCGCAAGCTATGACGTGCAAGCTGTGTAATGCAAGTCATGTGGTGTAAACTATGTGGTGCAAGGTGCGCGATCCAAGGTACGTGTTGGTGCCAGTTTTTTTGGGTGCAAGAGATGTGGTATGCGGTATGTGGTGCAAGCTGCGAGGTGAAGCCATGTTGTGCCAGCTGTGTGGTGCAAGCTATGTAATATAAGTTGTGTGAAGCAAGCTATGCTGTGCAAGTTGTGCAGTGCAAGCTACATGGTGCAAATTATATTGCAAGCTACATGGCGCAAGCTACATAGTGCAGGCCGTGCGGCGTAAGTTCTGTGGCGTGGATCTTAGGCTTAGGCGCCGACGGGCAGGCTGGCAGCCATCTCCTCCTCCTCCCTCCTCCTTCTCCTCCTCTTCCTCCTCCTCCTCCTCCTCCTCCTCCTCCTCCTCCTCCTCCTCCTCCTCCTCCTCCTCCTCCTCCTCCTCCTCTCCCTCCTCCTCCTCATTCGAATAAGAGCTCGCGTGCGCGCCCGCTGCCATTCTGGTTTACAGCGTGCACGCGTGATATACATTGCGAAGGGAAGAGGACCGCCGCGATCTTCTTATCATAGCCGCTATGTCTTATACCTTTCACCCCTGCCACCCACAATTTCAGTTGGTAGCGAAGCTGGGAACGATCCCAGCTCTCGATCCACGGGCTGCGCATAGTGCGATGTGGGCGCACATTCGCACTCCCCCCAATTTCTTCAGCGCTAGCACCTTCCGTCCCCGTAGCAGTTTGTGAGCATGGCTGTTCTGCAAGCCTTCGGGTAATTCGCCCTGGACGCCCACATCCCATGATGAGGCCAACGCCCGACCGTGCGAGACGTATGAAAATCCAGTTGCGACGGGCAAAAGCAGCTGCAGGCTACTACGCCATGGAAACCAGGGGCCCACGGGAACGCCACGACGTCTGCCATGACCCATGGCACCCACGAGGTGCTGGCCGCAGCTTCGCGTCGGGCACGACGGCGGAGCTCCTCCCTGGGCCAGTACCGTGCCACGTGATGTGTGCGAGTGCTGCACGTCGCGCCATTCGAGCGGAGCACTGAACGTTAATGTACGGATATCACCACCCGTGGCACCTGTCAAGGGTAACTGCACCACTACGGCCGCCACTGGCTTCAACATCGTGTTCGTCACTGCGGAGGCCCGAGCCCCAAGGCGTTTCCGCAGCCTTCATCGTGGTGGAGTCTTATCAGGAGAGTCCCCATTCTGGCGCTTTCGGGCCGAAACTTATTTATCACCAGCCTGATGTCGCCGATGCCCGACACGCATCCTGCGAGCGCTGCGCACACATCGTCCGGATGCAGCCAGCACGTCGGCTACGCCACGACCATCGCCCACTTTGGTTTTTCGTCTCATCCGCCCTTTCAGCTGGTTCGGCAAATCCGAACTGCCGTATTTCGCATTAGTTTGAGTTCTTCCTCGAGGCGGATTTCGACGGAGACCTCGACCGACCCTCTTGCAAGGCGAGGCGTCCAGGCATGTCGCGGGCACCTACTGCTGTCGTGCCGCTCGCTGCGTGGAACAGGGCCGTGTCCCAGCCTGCTTGCTGCACCGCGCGTGGCCTTGGCCACGACCACTTGTCCGCCCCCCTACCGGCGCGCCGCCCGCCCACTTTCTCAACGAGGTAGTAATGTTGAGTACGATTGAAAGGCAATTTGGGCAGAGCTTCGCCATTCGGTTGACACGAAGACACGTTGCCCCACGCCCTGGTGCATGTTGTGCGCCCTGGCGCTCGGACGCACGATGCACAAAGCATGTTGCCTCAGGCGCGCTGATGCGTTCGTTGTGCCGTCGGCCGCAAGATCACGTTGACGCCTTTCGCTGTGCCATTCGGTCTAGGCGCGCGGCCACGCGGCAATTTGCGCACTTGCTGCCACGGCAGGTTCAGACAGAGAAGTGTGCGCGTTTGTCCCTTCAGTGGCAGCTGTCCTATCACTCAGGATTCGCTGGTGGGGAACGCGCCTGCGCAATGCCAGCGCGCGGCGGCGCAGGCCTCGCGGCGCGCGCCGCCCATGCGCACCCATGCGCTGCTCGGCGCTCCCGGGGCTTAGTTGGTGATGCAGCGACGCAAGCACGGTGCGGTATACCTTGGAACTCCCACCCGCCGCGGCATGCCCGCGCGCACCTACGCGCCATGCAGCGAACGCCGGGCATCGGCATGCTCAGCTGCGCGCCGGAGCGCGCGCAAAGGCAGAGGCATGCGACGCCTGTGCCCAGCCGTGCGCTGCGCCGCGCACGCCGGGGCGCCGCTGCGCCCGGCCGCGCGCCTTAGCGCGCGCGGGCTGGCGCGCCAAACGCATTTGCGTTTGGCCAAGCTCGTCCAACTACCTCTCAGAGTGCCCGCTGGCACTGGTCTTGGTTTTTCCCATCCGCACTCAGGCTACAATCGGTTATGTCGCACGGGATGCAGCTCACAGAGAGACCTCGCACGGGCCGGGTCAGCCAGCGTGCGATCTCAGCCCGCGTGCTCGTTTAACAGACTGCAAGCCTGTCTCTGCATCTCTGCCTCAATCCACTGACTCAGCCACATCACCGCCTCAGTGAATACATAGAAGCAGTTGAGAAACATGCTAGCCGATGCGGGCAGCGCCACTTCACTGCGCACCGCCTGTCTGCTGTGCACCCACCACCTGGCGCGATCTACCTCCAGCATGCAACCTGCTGCGGGCCGGGCACTTGACTCGCCGCGACTCGCCCATCACGCCCGCATTTGCTGGGCCGCCGTCTGGCGGGGGAGCGTCTCCGTTGGGGTCTCGCCGACCGGCTCAACGGCTTTGCGCCCCCTCGCCAAGGGCGCGCCCTGTCGGTCCGCGCGGCAAGCCTAGTGGCCTGATTGCGGCCAGCACCTGTAACTGAGTCGGCGCGTAACGATCCAAGGGATCGAGGTCCGCAGAGATTTCAGCTCCCCGCTTCCTTTTCGACGGACCGCCAAGTTTACGAAGTGCCTAGCGCGACATGCTCGCCCTGTGGATGTGCACGTCTCGATTTGCAACTGATGAATCTGACGTGGACTTCGCCAGGAAATTGTCATTACGCACGCATTCAGTCTCGCTGAATA